ATTTATATATAAATATATATATATATTTATTAAATAACATATAATAAATTTAAATATATTTCTTAATCTTAATTAATTTTTAAATATTTTTAATTTATTAATTATAAAATAATAATAATAAATAATATTTTTTTTTTTCCCCAAATTATTAAATTATTTATATTGTAATACAATAATATTTTGATATATTTTATAATATATCGAATATATATATGTAAGGAATCATTGTGGGAATTAGTTATTTCATGGGAGATGGTTGTTTCAATTTTTTTTGGGGTTACGAATTATTTTGACCCATAATATTTTAAGCATTATTCCGCTCTGGATACCCCCTACACAGTGATAAGAGGGTGGGTTGGGGGCGTCATGAAGCGTCCATCGTCGAAAGCTGGCAAGCCGGCAAGCGCTGGCAAGCCGGCAAGCGCTGGCAAGCCGAAAGTGATCAGCGAATAAGAGTCACACTACATAATATGTATTTTTTGATAATTTATCCTATCTATTTTGGTTCAAATACCTTAAACCCTAAACCCTAAACTATATGGTTTTCAAAAAACGGGCAAAATTCCGTTTAAATATAGCATGTTAAGTTGGTAATTTAGAAAGGATTTCTGGGAAATCCTAAGCGACTTGAATTTAGGCGGCCATGTCCACCACCCCTGCATCAACCAGATTATGGTCTATGATGGCTAGGTTGCACAAGATTCTATAATTCCAGTTGCTGAGGATAACTTGATGGCCCTCTCTCAAACTTCAAGTTGCCAAGTTAACATGCCATCTCCAAACACATCTTTCCAACCAACATATTTGGTGCTATGTTGCATTGGGATGTGTGTTCGGGAGGTGTATATATATGGGGGCAAAACTATGAGAACCATCACCCCACAAATATTCCTGTCCGGGATTGTTTTTTTGTCATTGCTTAGCATTTATTATTATCTATTATTGTCATCATTACTACTGCACATACTACATATATTATATATTGTTTATTTAAAAAGCTACAAATAAAATGATATTATGTACCTATTCTAACTAAGTAATACATATATATATATATCTTCATAAACTTGTGACCAAGTGCCAGCGACCAGCGGCAAAATGCCAACAACTAAAAACAACTAAGTTTGACAGAAATTCTATATATATATATATATTATATAAATAATTTTAATATTATTTAAATATATTCAATAGAAATCATATTGGGATATATATGGATATATGATAAAATCTTGATTATAAATACAATATATCATTATATATGCCAGGACATTTGACCAATAATAATGCAGTAAATAACATGATTCGCATCTAGATTTCAGAATATATGGCAGGATATGGCAGGATATAAGTCGGAAAAAATATTAAGATACATATCAGAATAATTGCCAGAAAACATCTCAGGGTATGTGGGAAAAATATGCCAGGGCATATGTCAAAATACGTATCATTTGCATCAATATACATATATATACACATGTCAGAAAATATGAGGATATGTCGGCATATGTATCAGGATACATGTCAGCATGTTTTTATTTGGAAAGGGTGGGTCTCACACGAAGTACATTTAATTCTCATTTTGTGATTAATTTTTTTGAAGTCAAATTGGTTTATCTCAGAATATTAATTTTCGCCAAATAGATCCTGGCGTTGGCAGGTAATTTCGTTATTCCAAAATCATTAAAGGTATGAATATACAGTATATTGGCAAAACTTTTTCAACCATCCTTCTTGCAAATTAATATTCGTTGGATCCCAAAGTTCCGAGAAAATAAAGAACCGTCAAAGTATTTTGGGAGGCCCACCCAACTCATGGAATATTGATGCTTCCAAGCCTCTGGGAACATCTACAGGTCATGGATCCCATAGAACCCCCCCAGGTAGCTCCTTCACGGCAGGACCTTCTTTTAGGAGTTCGGGATCAATTTCTTCTCGCCGAGCGGCCTGGTAATTTTTTTTTGCAACTGGCAACTGGCAACTGGCAACTGGAGCAGTTGCCTCTGTGAAATTTTGGATGGATCGGAGAAAGAATGGGTTCGAATGGTTTGGAATGGTGCAGAATTATGATAATTATCACAATTTCATGGGTTCCAAGTTCCAAATCATGATTCTCTAATGATGATAACTAATCATGATCTCACAATTTCCGATATCTTGCGGATCCGTGTTCGAATTCTAGCATCAGCCAAAAGGCAACTACTCGGTTACCCTATGGCAACCCCTCTGTAGGTACAGTTGTCCCTGGTCCCAGTTTAAAATAAATTGATAAAAAAAAATCGGATACCAAAATATAAATCCGGGTCCAATGTTCAGTGATAATCATTCCAAACATACCATATTTAGCATGGATCAAAAACGATTGACCATATGAATGGGGGATGAAGATCCATGAATCGCTACTTGGAGCCCATCTTTTACTTCACAACCTGGTGACATCGCGTGACATCTGCCTCCTTCTCTGCCCGATACTTCATCATGGTGAGCTCTTTGGGCCCCTTCGTCTTGAACTGACCGCAGCGCAGCGGTGGAGACAACAAACCACTGATGGCCTCCTAGTGATCAACGGATTCACCGTTGGATCATACGTCAGTTCTGTTGTAAGCAATCTGAAACCATATTGTATATAATATATAATGATATATATATATATACGTATATTATATTACATCATATATACATATATTAATTAACGATATTTACAACCATCGTTTGCATGTCACAACCAAGGCGGTTGTTAACCCGCCTTGGTGGTGCATATTCGCTTGTTGTTTCGACCCTCTGGAACTGATCTGGAAGATAATCGACCCTTGGTGTTTTTTAATGCCCATGAAACATATCTGTCATTGGGGTTATCATCCTATTTATATCCATTTATATTCATTTATATCCATTTATATCCATTTATATCCATCATCTGTGATAATTTACGATTTATATTCATTTATTGGATGGACAAGAGAAACAACATTCCAAACCACCAACCAATACTGCTATAGCCCAGAAAACCATGACTCATGGACTGCGTAAAATGAGTCATTGGACCAGTTCCACCTGTTTCACCAGTTCCACCCTTCGCCCTGAGGCCTTCTCTTTCATCTTGCTGTTTTCAGGTAGCTTCATCTTGGAGACCAGTTTCTTTGCCTCCTGAAGTTAGATAGAAATAGATAGAAGTAAAGCATATATATATGGAGGTTTCCTAAGTCATGGGGGTACCCCAATACTTGGATGGTTCATGCATGTTCATGCGCTCACAACTCGTTGAGTCGTTGCAAAGACTTGATCGTACAAAGTTGTGTAAAAAAGGATCATGCAAATAGGATCAATACAGGTCATATCAAAGTTGATCTATAGTTGATGATACCTGTGTATAAATTGATCTAAATCATCAGGTATCATCAATTTTTTCCAAGGCTTTCAGCAGGGAACAAGGCATTGACAGCAATCTTCCCAGTGTGGCCATCTGTCCAACGCAGGTGTGGCTCCATGGATCACATATCTTGGATTGTGCTACGTTGTGAATTCGCCTCCACACCAGGTTTATCCAAAGGCAAGTAGCAACAAAAAAAACGATCAGCTTCACCAGATCAAAAAATGACATAAAAACAACAGCAAAGACAAATCCCTGGATGAGTTCTCGAACCAAAACAACCCTCCCTCCGAAAACAAATCCATGCGACAGAAATTCATCACTGCTGAAGCATTGCCCAAGGTCCAGGAACATTTTATGAATGGCTTAATCAACATGCCTGACATATCCGACGGAGCATATCATTAGTGGATTCAGTCCATCAACAAGAATCCATATTGAATTTATATTCAACTTACACCATTATATATAATTATATATATTGTATTGTCAGTTACCCCTACCCACACATACGATAAATTTTGGAATTCGATCAACTTTTTCAGACAACCATCAGTTATCCCCCTAAGGAATACCAGTTAGCGCTATTGATGGCTTAGTCCGAAGCCATACTTCGCCACAGAAATCCGCTGGTCCTCGCTGGGTTCGGTGTAGGCAGCTTCTGCTCCCAAACGTTCCCTGACGGAAGCAGAGGGAGCCGGGCACATGGAGGTTTCCACCAATGGGCCCCAATAGCTGGATGATTTATGGCAAATTCCGATTTAAATGGATGATGTGGGGTTACAACATGTCGTAACAACTCATAAGTATTCACAGGGACCATTCAGCATCAAACACCGGAAATTAAGACAACTCAAGCATCTCATACAATATCTATATATTGTGGAGATAAGCGTGAACCACTAGGAATTCAACATCATACGCGATGTGGCTATGGGTCAAGTCCTTCACTCCCAACTGGGTAAAACTCCATTGCACAGCGAATAATTATGCATTTGATCTCAGGATGGATTCAATAGGGTACCAAGGTTTCAACTGCCCGTGTCAGTTCATGATCTGACATTTTGCAAATCCTTCCAGAAACGGCCCCTTTGGTCTGCAACAGGAATTGCGCAGAGCCGAGCTCACTGCACCACGTTGATGTCTTAACCCCAAGACCTTGTACAACATTCTCACATCTCTGACCCACCAGGCCCAGCCAACAGCTTGTTCTTTTTCCACTCTGCAGCAAAAACAACACGTGTTTTTGCATCCAGACTCTGCTTGATCTGAGAGGGATTCATGTCAGCATCATATGAGGGACCAGATATGGATCATCTTTGGTGGGACTTGTCCCTCTGGACAAAAATCTGTGAATCATGGCCTCAATCCTTCCATTCTTTTGGAATCTTTTGGAAAAGTCAAAACAGCTCCAAACCACATCTCGATTTTTGGCCGACGCGGATGAGCGAAATCCATTCGTCTACCGGTTCCACATTTTTGATGCCGTGGCTGTAATCTTTACCTAGTCCACAATCTCAAAAACAGCAGGAACCTCGGTGCCAGCTGAGACACGCTGATGTGGCTTGGCCGAAAGGGCGGTTTGGCAATGGTGGCTAGTCACCAAAAACCCACACTGGTTCAAAACTTACCAAATCGCACATCCTTTCAGCACACAAACACTGTGACATCCTGAGTGGCTGTCTGTACTCCAATAATGGAGGTCAACTGCATCATGATAAAGCAGTGATTTTCTAGTACAGTAAATCTTCCCAGTTTTTCTTCCTGCCATTGGCATGCCGAGATGCTTTGAAAAAGGGTGGATTCGGTCTTAGGGTCAAAAGAAAGGGCTCCTGCAGGCTGTCAAGAGGCATGGTTCGTAGCAAGACACCTGCAAAATATGCATGTCTGTAAAATTGGCAAACGTAAAAATCCAAATATATTCGGAAGAAACAGTATCCAGAAGATATCAATAGATAGGACTCTGCGATTTGAGAGGAAGCAAAGCCGTTGCACAGGTTGCAGCCCTTCAAAACCTAAGCTGTTTATTCACATAGCACGCCACAAACCACAGTCCTACACACTCTTCACAGCCAGAATTGCACCTTCAGAATCGAATCCACTAAGATTTGATATGATTTCATGCTTTCATAGAATGGTGGGTAATGTTGGAAAAGCAGTAGCAAACCATCCCCAATTCTACCATACATGGGCATAAACATGCATAAACCATCAACATATGGGTGATTTATGGATGATTTATCATGGCTTTACCAAACATGTTCCCCTAGAAAATCCTCCCAGTCACCCATTGGACCACGGCCATCACCATTTTTAGACCACCAGTCGCCTGGCAGAAGAGCGAAGAGGCTGTCTTCACCTGGCCGGGGATCTCAATGATCTCTGGATTTCCTATCTCCTGTATATATATATATATAAACACTATTGATATCATTAATATATCAATGGTATTAATGGATATATATATATATATTTATATGAATATATCACTAATATACCATTAATATACCATCCACTAATGGATACATATATATATATCACATCCATTAACATATCACTATTAACCATTAATATAGCCATATATATATATATATACACCCAATATATCACTATATCAAAATCTGGTTGGTGGTTGAGCCTACCCTCTGAAGAATATGACTTCGTCAGTTGGGATGATGACATTCCCAACTGAATGGAAAATCAAAAGTCATGTTCCAAACCACCAACCAGTATCACAACAATTTCCTCTACAATCCCGAATAATCATCAAAATATATCAAAATACTTGAGGTATCTTGAGGTCAATGTAGATCTGGAAGAATCTTTGATTTTTTTTTAGGTGCTAAAAGTAACACACTGGTTAAATGACACTAAGATCACACACTTTGTTAACCCTCAAGCGCCTCGCTGGAGACCCACTCAAAGACCTGAGAGTCAGGTCTTCGATGGGTCAATGGGAGTGTTGCCCAAGGGGCCAAGGGGACTCTAAAAACTAGATATATATATATATATATAAATGGTTAATATATCACTATTAATGGTTAAGAACTATTAATATATCACTGTTAATTGATTCATGTGGATTAATGATCACCAGATATCACCAGATATCACCACGTTTTCCCTACGTGATCCTATATGAACCACTCACACTGCCCTGCCCAACTGGCTATGTTAAACAGAATCCCTTCAAATCAGAGGATTTTTTTTTAATGGAGACATCTATATGACCCGACCCTTGAGAGGCTCTGCACATCCGCAAAGTGGTTGGTGAATTGGTTCTATGGGCTTCAATTCCACATTCCTCACCACCAACATCATCAATTTCATCGGCACTGTCAATAACAAAACACCCAACAACAACTGAACTCCAAAACCACCAAGAACACCATCATCAAGAAGTAATCTGAATCCTGAAAAAACCTAGTTCCAATTGAATGCAAACTCACTTTCGAAGTGGGACTATCAACAGGTACCTGAGGTACCTATCATATCCTATCATGTAAGTGCAGGTCTCAAAGAACCCTTTGGCAAGCACGGGCCGAGTTCTCGCAGATTCGGAACTGGCACAAACCTGGGAAGTCCCCAAGGCTCAGCACCGTCTGGGCCGCCCAACATGATGGGGGAACTTGGTCGCTTCGGGAGCAACTCTGAGCCCCGCCGAGCCCAAGGGAATCATCTGAGCTCATGATATTTGTCTGAAAAAGGGGGGACCTCGACTGTACCGGCAGTTTTTCATGGAGTAATATGACGGTTAGTGGATTTGGGGCATAGATACACCATGTTTGGAGGGCTCCATGTGCACCCCTAGAGTCACACATTGCTCAGTTGATCTTCTGTAAGGCAACAACCTGTTTTGGCACAGAGCACCGCATGCATATGCTGTGTACCGGACACTTCTGATATTCAAGTACTGCAAGTATCACAGTAAACATCCCCAAGACAATGACATATGTACTATATGTTGTAACAAATCATATTTTACTATACACTGTACCACAGTATGATATAGTATGATATGATTTGAAGCCGACCAAACAAGTAAGTCGAAAAGATAGAACTTTCCGGAAATCACCCATATCTAATCAAAACTATCTGAGAGTGGTATTTTGCATATCTTTTTTTGGGGACTGCCACATACCACCAGACCTAAGGCTCGAACAACTCGCTTCTCCAACTCCTTGTGCAATGCGCCTGTCGGTAATGTGTTGCTGGGGCACAATTGTGATCCGCAAAAAAAGTAGAAACACCAATCACCATGAAAACTGTGGGAAATCATGTGTCTATTGTTTTTGGAGGCATCTGCTAATATAGCTATTTGATATTAGTGAATTGCAGGAATTGCAGTTATTCATACATGAAAAGCAATTTCAAGTCACATCTCACTTCCTGGTCCAGCCATTGTGTACTCCTACATGATTCTTCAGTGGGCGACCAGCAACCCTTCCAAAACAGTTCCAACATCCAGCACTTGCTGCTAACTTTGGATGCCGCGCAACAAAGCATGGCATTCCTTAAATTTCATTTACCCTCTGGTAATTTAACATAACTATGGAAAATCGCAATTTTTCATGGGGAAATTCACTATAAATGGCCATTTTCAATAGCTATGTTAAATTACCAGAGGGTAAATGGTTTCACTCTCCTAATGTAATTCAGCAACTATGCATCGGCAAGCAATGGCACCGGGTCAGGTAAACGGTTGGAAAAAGTCAAGCTCCTAGGCCCCAACTACACCGATGTTGGTCCTCTTTAGCACTAAGCATCACAATTCTTTGTATCTCTAAATTCATCCAACTTCAACTAAATATAGATATTCTCCGGCTCCATTCATGACCGCCCGCCTATGAAGTCGTCTCGCCGACGACCCGGGTCCGCCATGATCACTGTAGACCTTGGTCTCAAAATCGGCCACAGTACTGCAATTTGATCAAAACAGTTCCCAAAAATGTTCCATGAACCCATCGTTTTGGGCTTTGCAACAACAAAATCCGTTCACCATAATTTCAGAATCTATTCTGAAATTCTGACCAGTGGTGGTATCTAGAATCTACTAAGTGGTATCTTGATGTATCTTGTATAGTTCCACTCTTCATCATCTGACTTTGGCCCCGTGGCCCTTGGCAATAAGCCTCAGCTGCCCGGGAAGCAAAGGCAGCGGCCTGACGGGATTGGCATGATTGGCTCTGCTTAGTGATATGCCTTTCATGAGGAAAACATGACGTCAATATAGTTTGTGAGTTTAGTGTGGGTTTAATCTCAGAAAACATGGGTCTGATAATATATCATTATTATATGTATCTCTGAAAAAATTGTGGGATATTTTGGGCACCCCAGTTGGGGCGCAGCCACGTACAAATAATGGTATGCCTCCGCAGGCCAGTAAAGGACATCAGAAAAGACCTCGGCTGTCAGCTCCCCCTGGGACATCCCCGAAGCGGAGGTTAATTCGTAGGATCATCCCCTATCATCGCTGGATGGTGCTTCAATCCTAGATTTATTCATTGAACGGAGCATCTACATACCCACACAGGATATACCTGGACATACCCAATCTAATTTTTTTATGCAAACATGATGTATCAACTTCCAGCCATACTGCTGGGACCAGCGCCACGTAATCGAAGGGCGTGGAGCCATGGCAACGCCTAAAAAGGGACTCAGAATCCTCAAAGAGACAATCCCCCTATCTTCAAGCTGAATGATGGTAAATAAATAAATAAATCAATATATATATATATATCATATATATATATATCATATATATATATATATTCCTTTTCCTGGAATGAATCTTCAAATCTTCCTGAAGACTTACATTCATTATGTTCATTGAGCCTGACAGGACATCAATTTCAATCTCAAAACATGGAGAATGACATGTAGAATGAACAAATGCTGATAGTAAAAACAGAGAGCGTGCTATTCATCAAACTTGCGGACAGTTGAAAGCTATAGCAGCTATTGGTTTCCTTTTCCCGGGCCTTTCAACTTGCAATCGCTTTCAATTGATCGAACTGCAACGGTCACTGGGTCGAACACGGCAAAGGTTCTTCGGACGTCACGTCGAATACCTGGAGTGTGGGTGGATCCGTAGAAACATGAAGAGGAACTAGCCACCGTCCATCATAAAATGGATGGAACCCCACACATTCAAAGATAAGAGATATATCCACCATTATCCACCTATCTATTATATATGTGTATCTATGTGTGTGTATTATACATATGTGATTAGGATTGAGTATAGACATACAAAACAAGACATCGTACATTAGATTGACCATCCCGCAGCGAATCTCGCATCATTCATTCCAAATCGCTCACCTACCTATCCTGCGCGAAACAAACTTCACCTCGTTGAACATCGCTGGTTCAGAACTCTGCCAATGGATCCACAAGCTAGGCTTGTCATTTTTTGGAACCTATAGCCATCGCAACTTGAGTGATATCTCAAATATCACTTTCAGCCATACCTACATGTATCAATTGAATAGCAGGTTTCAAACAAATTGCGGCAACATCTCGGACAGGTTTTTCTCAACTCTCTTTGGCTCCAACCCTCTGTTTTGGTCCCCCAGGTATTTGTTTTGTGTCCTGGTTGGTGGTATACCTACCCCTCTGAAAAATATGAAAGTCAGTTGGGATTATTATTCCCAATATATGAAAAAATAAAAAATGTTCCAAACCACCAACCAGTGTCATAATTTTCAATCCAACGCCGGATGAAGGATGAAGGATCAACCCGTTCATCGAAGGATCAGGGACTTGCCGTAGATGGAAAACAAACGGACTATGGATCAACAAATCCAACCCCCGAAATGGAGTTGAAATGGAAATGGATACAGGATCCACACCCATGAATCATCATTCCAGCAATGATCAGAATCCCCCGGTGATTCCATTTAATCCTGGTTGGTTCATAAGGATTCCCCGTTCTTGGATTATAATCTCCACATTTTCTTGGGTGTATCATCCCCGAACTAGTCAACCACACCTCCACGTCCAAGTGCAGGCCGTTGAGCCGTGCTGATCTCTGGGCCAGGTCAAGGTTCCTGGCGATGGAACATATGGGAAAATCCTATGGCTTATGGTTTTATTAGGAACATCATCTATAATTAAATCATCTCTGGTTGGTGGTTTCAACCCCTCTGAAAAATATTAGTCAGTTGGGATTATTGTTCCCAATATATGGAAAAATGTTCCAAACCACCAATCAGATTTATAAATGGGTCATTTACCTATAGACGTGGATCATCTATCAATGGCTATGATAGATTACCTAAGGATAGTCTGAGGAGATTATGGGGTATCGGTAAATATATATATATATATACATTATTAATGATAATAATGACAACCATTATAATCATGATAATAATCATAATAATATCATAATTATTTCATAATAATATGATAAGAATATCATAGTAATATAATAATAATATATGCAGTATATATAATGGTCATCCTGAAGTAGATGTAATATGGGATTTTCATGGATTTTCGAAGATATTCCTATTTTGTCGGGATCTATTGAAACATATTCCATCTACTCCAGCATGACCATGTATCTGTATAGAGTGGAAACGGTTGGGGATACAGTACAACCAACAAGATATGGAAAATATAGAACATAAGATGGCAGATGAGCCTCTAATCCGCGGGATGTAAGATTAGGTTATGTATATATAGATATGGGACATACCGGGGATATAAGTTGATATAAGATAACTATTGTATAGATTTGGAACATCCAGGGATATAATAGATATAATGGAGGTATCATGGGTATACAGCCTTATCAGCAATAATCATGATAATCCTGGATAATGCTACTCAAGTATGGATATGGATGATGGTACTTTTATGGACCCTGAATGGTTCCCCTTAAACCAATTTGGGTAAGGCTCAAGTCATGTGGATAAGGAGCGACCACGTTGATTTAGTACCTCTTGTTCATACCAAGATTACTAAAGGAGTCCCCATACATCGTTTACACATTATGCAGATACTGTCGTATTCCAAGAAAAATGCGTCTGGATTTGATTTTCAACGCTGCCATGCTGTCACCTTTCTGGATAGCGTGTTTAGAATCCCTATCTTGTTTTTGAAGTCCTCCTACATCGTTCCACACCAAATGATGGGTCCTGAGCAAACCTGCACACCGCTGAATACTACTTTCAATTGTGCTTGAATAAATGCAGTTGCTCGTATGCTGTTAAAACATGTCAACACTGAATGGCATATTCATTAACCATCAACAATAACAAAACCAGCACCGGCCCGAATCATGACCTTGGCTGGAAAGAAATGATCTTGGCAATGTGGCATGGCTCTATAAAGAAACAGCACTGGACCCACACCAATGTAAATTTCCCAGATATTGTCAGAACATCCAATTTGGGGCTTCATACTGTGCGCCACACTCATCCAGCGTCAGAACCAGCGACTTCTTGGATTCTGAAAGGCGCGGCAAGCGCCCAGCCAACACTTCAGCGAAGCTGAAGTGGACTTGGGAATTATGTCACATCATGTCACACCCAACCGACCTAGCCATCGCCCTTTTCCATATTCTTGTTTGAAGTAACCTCTCCTGGATGAACAACAGGCCACTACGATACCCAGTGCATAAATTCCAGGCTTGATGGATTTGACGTAAAACAAAGCCAGTTTCCAAGGAAGAAACTAGTAATTAAGTAGTAACTAGACAGATTTACTGCGTGATACTTGATCATGAAGTTAAAAACGGTATACCATTTCCCATCATTTACAAGTTTAAGTGGGGCACCATCATTCCACTTTTTTTTTTAAATCTTGATTGCGAGCAACGCTTAAAAGATAATGTTGCACATCGTCCAGGTCGCTCCAAGCAAGCCAGCCTTACACCTTTGCTTGATCCGTGGCCAACACTTTGGTGGCCCCGCCTGGCGGATGTTAAAGCTTGATTGACACATTTTCTCGTGCAGTTGTTTAATGGATCCAAGCGGGACAAAAGCATCTAAATCGATATCCCAAGAGAATTTCTTCAAACTATAAAAATGGAATATAAAAAAAATGGAAAACACATTAAAACAAAAAAAAAAAAACAACTGATGTAAAATGATGACTTACAGCTGGCCCCTGTCCCAAATGCTCTCCCTTTACCCCCTTGCGCACCTATGAGGGCGGCCAAGGAGACCAAACCAGTGCCACATCCCAGCTCTAAAACCTGATCAAATCTGGGGAGGACACAGATGCTGCTTAATACGTTTTTAATACGTTTCATAGACCAAACACATGCTTTCTGTATGTTTCTAATTGTTTCTATACATTATTTATTCATATCTCATATCCTATAGTGAGATTACGTGAAACTTTGACCAGTTTTTGCCAACACGAGGACATTAAAGGCCAAGAAGGGATAGGTGAAAAAAAATGCCCAAGTGGGACGGTTGGTACTGGAAAAACTCCAGTCTTATACTCCACATTTTTGAATTTCAATCATCTTAAATCAATCGGTTGCCTAGGAATATTTTACCAGTGGAATGTTATATCAACAACAAAAGCGGGGGTGAAACATGAGGCATTAACGGTATTATTGTCATTAATGTCAAATCATTCACCAATATTATTATTAACCATACCATGAACCATTCATCCGGAACCATTAGCAGCCTATAAAAATGAAGATTCGTGCACCAACTTGCACCAGACTTCAAAGATCCGGGCCGTTTGACCAGGAGAAACCACCAAACTACATACCGGCTGGTTAGTCAGTACAGTGCTGCGACAAAAAAACATCCTGATGTGCCCCAACATGCAAAGATCCAATGCAAAAAGCATGTTTCATTTTTTCCGGTAATGTTGAGGTGCAACGAATTACATCCTGTATTGTGCAGCGTGGAGTTTACATATTCAAGAGAGGTGAGTGTGCTAGAGTAGTTTATATCATCAATTCTTCATATCATTGACCACTACACTAACCATACAATTAACCACTATCATTAACCAGTAACCATTAATAGTATGCATAGTGGTTAATAACTGATTAAACTTCCTAAGCCATCCTTAACCATCCTCAACCATCCTTAACCATCATTAACAATCCTTAACCATCAATTGCCATTATTAACGGTCATTAACCATCATTAACCATCATGTTTAACGAGTATTCACCAGTATTATCCACAACTTAACGACTACTAACATCCATTATATAACCATGAATAGTGGTTAAATATCCATGAACGAATATCTATTATTATATAGTCATTAACATGCGTGTTCTTAACCATTATCATTTCTTATACAACCACTTATTATCATTAATAACCATTATCCCATAGTAAATTGTTATATCATTATTATATGATAGTAAACATTATCATATGTTATAAATAACATATGTTATATCATTAATAACCATTATCCCATATAACATAGTAAATTGTTATACGATCAACCATTATCCCATCATTCTCCATCCTTCACCCACCCATCCCCGAGTTCTGGACCGACGCAGAGCTCTCGTTGGGGTGTCCGAAGACCTCCTCACTAAGGAGCCTGTGAAAGCATCCCGTCACTGGGGTGCTTTTAAAGGAGCAAAACGATGGATATGTTTGGTTTATCTATCTATCTTTAGATATCCATTATTGGAGATATTTGTTGATGCTGTAAATTCATATCGATACATCCTCTAAATCTGTAAAATGAGCTATCTATCCTTTGAACCGTACCGATTTTTCATGATTTGCCATGAATTGAAGTGAACACTGTCAAAAGAAAACCTGTAAATTACTGTAAACTAATCATAACCATAGATAGTATGACCCGTGAAAAACGTGTCCAAATATATCCATGGTCCATTCCCGCATCGACAACATGACTTGTGCAGGGCCGCAGGAAGCCTCTCTGCCACAAGGTACGCGGAAGGCCAGGCCTAATGCCGTCTTGGAAGGACAGTCTGCAGTTGTCGGTTTGAAATCACCACTTGTCTGGGAGGATCAACCATTTTTCTGTGTCACATAATCATGATTAATCATACATAGTCCATGCTTGCTGGTCGATCCCAAAATTATTTTTCGGTGACATCCACATACATCCACATGATGAACTTTTGATGAAATCTTAGCTTTGGAGAATCAGTGTAATTCTTTGTTGGATTTGTGTGAAAAGCAGACTGATCATATTGTGGACATGGCTCACACCTAGGGATTTCCCAACAAGCACCATCTCCACACAATGTCAATGTATCGAAGATACACCTGCCCACCACTGCGTTAACAGTGATACTGAAGCGAAACAACTCAAGAATTATGAGAAATTGTGATACTTTCAGAAACCGCTGACTTCGAGTTTTATCTAACATGGTGTCCTTTGGCTGATGTTTTTGGATGATCACTGGTATTAGATTTTCCACAAATGGGGGTTCCCTCAAAATCATCCAAGTCATTAGGCAATTTGAGAATTCATCATCCAAGTCACTAGGCAATTTATGGCAATTTTAGTATTGAAACATATTGAAACCCATGGTGACGACTGGGGATCCCCCATGACTTCATCCCTGACCTTGGACCCAAAGGGGTCCTGGTGCCCCAGCGCGCGAAAGGCCACCGTGGCCTAGGACCAGGGATTTCAATGGGATTTTGATGGGAGATGAATGGATTTTGATCGTACTCTTATGGTGGAATGTTATGGATGTTTATTAATAAAAATGGATTATTTTCATGGAATCTTATGATATAACCAAGGATACAGGGATACTGTCCTGTCAACAAACATGGTTTTGTGGGAAACCCCCTAGCCGTGGAGGTTTTAACCATGAGAACATCATGATTTTGCAGCAAGCCTGCCATCCTGCCATCTGGATCAACATCTCATGGCATTCCACTGGTTCAACCGCCAGGACCGGGGCCCTATGATCTGTATGACACTTGAACTTCTGGCTGATATAGCAAATAGATAGATAGATAGATAGATAGACAGACAGACAGACAGATAGATAGATAGATAGATAGATAGAGAGAGCTGATATTACCAAGATTTGCTATCCAACTATAACAATTATCAACGATTGATTCAAAGTGATATATTCAACAATTACAACTCTTCCAGCAATGGTATTGCACATCCATCAATTGTGGTATCCACTTGGGATAGTTGGATATCCTTGTAAAATGTATAATATACATATAAACTGCTGTGATATCACCAGCAATTTGGATACCCATTTGATTAAAAAGTGCAACTTTACCACATTTGGTTAGGGAGTTCTGTGCACATACACCCTTGGGAAATGTTGGGCACATGGCCTGAAGATTCACTTTGGAGGGGAAGATGTTCTGTCGTCAATGGAGGTCATCATCCCATTTAAGTTGGATGGAGAATACATGAACATAATAAGACATATATTTGGACCCACCAACCAATTGTAGCATAATTATACCTCCCGCAATTTTCCTGGTTAGATCTCTATTGATGCTGACCTCAAGCCTGGATGGCACCACTGAGCTCCTGGGCTTCATTGCTGTCCGCAGCTTCCAACAATCTCAGAGACCTGTTCCCAGGGAGCGGGATCACCAGCTCATGCACTGCCATGCCAGCCACCGTGTCCACCATATCCCTGACAGGCTGGGATGACGTTGGAAGCATAGGGTGCCACCGTGGTGCCACCCTCACCACCAATGGGATATCATGGGGATAGAAACAGCAAATGGTAGAGGCTGGGAGGATGATATATATATATGTACTAGTCAATATAGTGCCACTAGGAAAAAACAAAAGCATGATTGAGGATCTGACTGGTGTCGTCAGGATTTTACCGACATCTTGAATCACACTTGCGAGGATGGTTTGGTTATCTTAACTTCGAAAGTTGTGTAAGGATCATTGGTACACCAAAATCCAATGATGAATTCATCATGTTCCCTAGCAATATTGCCAGTTGAGGGTATATATCCCATCATTGGACACACAGCATTGGACACCATGCTGTCAAAAACGCTTACCCTCTGGTAAACAGCCACATAACTATGGAAAATCACCATTTTTAATGGGAAAACTCACTATTTCTATGGCCATTTTCAATAGCTATGTTAAATTACCAGAGGGTAACAATCTTTGAAAGCAAAGCATGGTGGCTGCCACATCCTGTTGTGTCTTTGGCAGGTTGCAGCCTCGCAAGATATTGAGGGCTGGCACATCCCCACATATCCCCATAGATTAAATAAAATACCACATGTTTGTGGGTTTCGGGCCCGCATCCAAATATTCGGGTTGGTCCAAAAGTGACTTTTATTCCAGTAACAATATATATATATATATGTATAATTATATATATATAGGGAAATGAGGCTGAAAGTACCCGGTTCACGCGAAAATGAGCCCACTTTCATCCAGGTTTGTTCGCAAACGGCAAAGTCGTCGCTAGAGATTGGTTGCTCCTGTTCCATCATCCAATCTCATCAACTTATCCACCTTTTCTGGATCGATCTGCCACCCCTGGGTGCCTTTCGCTATTGCTGGGCCGCACTGGCCGCACTGGGGCTGCTGGGGCTGCTGGGGCTGCTGGGGTGGGGATCTTGGGGAGCTCAGGCACCTCTAGACCTCGGGCAGCGAAGTGGAGATTGATGGAGTGGCGATTCATGGGGAGTTTGGGGGATTGATTCGGATTTTGTGGGGACACAAAAGAACCCCTCGATAAATTAGTTCTGACGTTTAAAATTAGGAGATATCAGGAGTTTGAACCTTTGAATATTGGAGCCATTCCTCCTGCCAATTTTCTGGATGTTGATCAACAAGATTCTGACTTCGAGTGTGTCCAAAAATGGCATATACCCCGAACTCCGATGGCGTTGTCATGTTTTCCCCATCTCAAATGAACAGATCCCAACACGTTTTTCAGTAGAACAGTTTTCAAGGTCCATATCTCAGCTTCATAGCGGAATCTACATGCACAGCTGCAAATGACACAAGTTGCAAGCTTGTGATGCTCAGTTTGGCTGATGATTGCAAGATGATTTCAACCCAACCCATCCAATATCAATTGATTGAGTTGAAGCATCCCGAAGAAATCCAAACAAATTGGGAATGTGAAGTTTAAAATCAAAATTTGAAACCACCAGCCAGTATGTGCCCCACATGCCATTTTTCCTCCCAGCTCAATCAAGATTTGTTCCTGCTCCGTTCTCAGTTTCAGGTCATTCGCATCACCAGGTCCATCTTCGCCTTGCACATCTGAAGCGCCAAAAACTTCGGGCGTGGGATGTGACGAGTCATCGAACAGCAGATCTACCTTCTGGTCAATGTTGACCCTGCAAGCTCTTCCCAGAATGGTGGATGATGAAGGGAACCTCTATGGCTTTCCTGCAGCGTTTTCCCTGAAAAACCGGCAAAGGAATCATCATCCAAGCGCTCCGATGGCTGCAACGGGATGAAACGTTGCGACAAGTCATAGATCTGACCATTCATCTGGATCCCATCCTGGCCGGGAACCAAGGGACCAAGGGACCAAGGGGAAGCTGGGCTGGGGATTCAAAATGAGATGGCAATCAATCCAACATCTTTTCTGTTTTAGGACTAAACCATCAATTTCATTCAATTTGTCTTGGAGATGATAAATTTGATCACTTTCACTCATATTTGCTGTTGATGCATTGATGCCAACCCGTTTTCAAACGGGGGAAGCTTACGACGGCTTGCGAAGAGGGACCTTCTCTGGTTTGACTGAGAGAACGTCAAAAGGTACTTGTCAGTTGCATGGAGATGGCACGAACATGGAGTCAATGGGATAAAGGGTTTGTCAGAGGATTGAATATATAGGGTAAGTTCCCCAAAATCACATATAGTTTCTCGATGTTTCTCATCATTTGCCCCATCAAAATCGCCTTTTTGGGCTATTCCCTTCATTTTGTGACAGCTCCTTGGAAAGGTCCGTCGGTGTCGTGCACGCCGAGCAGATCCATGAGACCTGCAGCCAAACGTGGGGATATGAACCACACCTTATTCTATGGGGGATGCCATGTATGCCACAGGGCATGAGCCACAAAGAATGCAGGGCATGAGCTTATTGTTTCCGCCCAAATAAAAAGGAGATGAAAACCATGGCTGATGAAGATCTCCAATGAACAAGCAGTATCTTCAACAGTTTCCAGCGTCACATGGGCCATATTGAAACAACACCCAGGGTTGAACTTTAACACTTTCCAGATGGCCATCATGCCTGAAGAAAGGGATGAATGGCTGTTCATCAACATCAAATAGCACTAAACATTCCCCAAAAAAAAGGTAGAGGATGGCAGAGTCGGGGCTGTTCATCAACATCAAATAGCACTAAACATTCCCCAAAAAAAAGGTAGAGGATGGCAGAGTCGTTCATATGGGTTTCTCTCAAGAATGGGGTATACATTCAATGTCAAATGGCGATGTAAAAATTGGACAATCCAAACCATCAATTTCTGGTGGGTACCCGTAAATTTTCCGACAAGACCTCATCGCAGCATCCATCCTGGTAGCGTTTCTGGTTAACTATCATGTACCATTTACACAGTGCAGTTTTGAGGGCACACGGGCCTACCACATTTCAGACAAACCTACATATCCAAAAAGTGGGTAGAGGATGGAATCTGTTGGGTAATGTAAACCCTTATAACCAAACTACAATTTATATATTAATCATATATTATTCTAACCGGTTAAAATTATAATCTATAATTTATTGGTACATATAGCAATTATAATTTATGGTCATCAACCTGGGAGCACATCCCAGCACCCATCATTTCTCAGATCTTCCCCATGCCCCGTGGCCTGTGGCCCGACAATTCTCCGCCATCAACGCCTGCCACTGGCACTGCTGTGCCCCAAGATAGGGATTTCCCCTAATGGATTGTTCCCATTGTATTGAATAGTGTAACCCCCTACAAGTATAACCATCAAACAATATCAAGCAACTGGGCTTTAGCAGCTGTTCATTTAGGATTTTCATAATTCAACAAGCTAACAATTTGACAACTTGCGCAGCAAGAATAGGGATCGAAGATGATCTGAGGTCGGCCAGTGAGGACGTGCCCATCCAAGTAATTACAGTGCCTGTCATCACTAGTCGTGATGAACAGACTCAGTCTAGATATAATGATGGTAAGCCGATAGGAAGCCGAAACAAACAATGTTTTTCATCTTCGGGAAACTGACCCAACTGTTTATCACTGCAGGCAAGCATCGAACAAGGAATGTCCGTCTGCCACAACACCTGGGGAAATTCGCAAAAGCTGACACCCAACGGAAGAGATGGAGAAATTCAGGTGTAGCTGGGTCCTCTGCCTCAATGTATTGGTATAGAAAAGGGGACAGATATTTGGCAGCAAACATGACTAAACATGATTGATTTATCGGGGACGATATCGGAAACAATTGCCAATCCATCCAAGGGGCGATCGGCTAAACCTCAGAAGGGAGGCCGGAAGGGTAGAAACCGTTTCCAAAACGATGATGTCAAAGTCTTCCCAAAACATACCAAGAAAACCAGCATGGCATCAGGACATAACATGACATAGTTTTTTGCATATTTTTTTCAACATGCATAACTATGTAGACATGAAACAAAATCTAGGCTCTGGTAGACTAGCATAGCTACAGAAAATCACCAGTTTAAATGGGCAGATCAACGAACTAAACCGGCGATGGCTTCCAGTTCGCAACCCGTTAGTTTACTGGGCGAGTAGCTCATCAAGGAGAAGTCCAGGAGGGAAGTTTCCTTGGTCTTTCCGGGGGGAGTTGCAGGATCTGAGTATACCCTCCTTGGCGATGAAGACGTGATGATGTTGTGATGATGATGATGACTAATCTTATTATCATTACTATTGTTATTGTTATATGCGATTATCATTAATCAGTCCTGTGCTTGCAATAGTTATAACTATGATGGATTATGCTGATCATGGACATCGACAAAGAAAGACAAATGTTGCGCTTTGAACATGGACAGCGGGGATATGAGTCAAGAGACATTAAGAATCAACCAACAATCTTGGTCTGTGAATGCAGGATAAATCGGCAGCCCACATTTTGTGTGCTGCCAGTGTCAAAGAAAGAGAACTTGCACTGGAATACCTAGTCTAACACATAAGATCCGTGGAACCAGAGATCTTGATCACTTTTTCCCATGAACCATCTTAAGATTCCAATAGTCAATATTATAATGATCCGGATATACAAATAAAATAAGTTCATTGTTTTTGATCGTAAAATTCTTTCTATCCCAGTTTAGACGCAGACTCATCTCACCACTCCAGAGAAATATGCCACGCTTTATTCTGCTGCTTGGATGCAATCAGCCGCCTTTGATGCTTGCGCAACAGTTGTTGCGACACGTTCACTTCGCACTGCTCACCTCCCAAAGAACATGATGTTGTGTGCCATCATTTGGTCTGTGGTTGAAGTATCTATCATCATTTTGATAATCAAAAACATCTGAAATCTGGGCTTGTTCAAAAACATGCAAATAAGCATGAACATGTACACACGTGCTACACACGTGCTCGAAACCTCCAGGCTAGCCATGCTTGATGCATGGATCTGCGGAAGACTCCAAGTTTTTACAGGTCTAGAAATCTTTCGAAACTTGAAACGATTCTGCCCCCCATCAGGCAAGTGAATTCTGCTTGCCCCAGACAACATATACCCGGCACCTTGGAGACTGCACAGTTCTTCGTACCATTTTGATTTCAAACCTCAGAGCAACCCTTGTGAAGATTGTCTTGAATTCTTGGACCCTAGCCAACCGCTGGTTTCTGGATTCCAAGCTGTTCTTCAATGGGTGTCCATGTTTTTTCTCGAGTGGATGAAGGAACATAGCCATGGGTTTGCCTCCACACAATCGTTAAACAAACTTGATTTCTTTGAGGCAATTGCCTCAATTTGAAGGGTACAATAAAAAAACCATATGAGAATGGAATGGCCAACCAAAAGTGACCCCCTTCATGGGTGTCAAATCCTAGAGTTACAATAGGCTCTCTGCATTTTGGATCGCCAAACACATCCAAGAAACATTGGAACCACGGAACCAGGTGGTACCACATGTAGTGCTTGTATTATATAATACGTGTGTATGTGAACAGCAATGAATATTATATATCTATGGTTATCTATACCAATGCTACTTGTATCATAAAATATACAAGTATCATCGCATGTGTATGTGTCTGTGTCTATGTATGATGTGCATGTGTTTGTGTATGTGTATGTGAATATGAATATGTATATGTATATGTACAATTATGTATATGTAAATTGAATATGAATATGAATATGAATATGTATATGTATATGTATATCTGGTTGGTGGTTTCAACCTCTCTGAAAAATATTAGTCAGTTGGGATTATTATTCCCATCATGTATGGAAAAAGAAAAAATGTTCCAAACCACCAACCAGATATGTATATGTGTATGTGTATGCATATGTATATGTGTGTCTGTCTGTCTGTCTGTAAGAGTATGTATGTATGTATGTACGTACGTACGTAGGTAGGTAGGTAGGTAGGTAGGTACGTAGGTATGTGTATGTGTATGTGTAAGTGTATGTGTATGTATAAGTGTAAGTGTATG